TGACTAGACTTCTTTAACATTTTGTTTCTCACAGGTAATCAGAATATAATAACTGCTCTCTCACCGCTGGACCACGCAGCGCTGTCCCTGCGCTTGGGGTGGGATGGTTGTGGCCCAGGTCCTGCAGCGGGGTGGGCACCCGCGCTGGGGCGAAGTGCGACCTCGGCGGCCTGGGAGGTGCCGTGAGCGCGTGGAGGGCAGCGGCTCTGGCCTGCACCCCGGCCCAAGGCTGTGCTTATGGATCGCCTGACCAGGCCGCGGAGTTTTGGCCACCAGCGGGGCTTTCCTCGTGTCCAGCACGGCCCTCTGGCCTGCCCTACCCGGCGGGATGTAGTAGGCCACCAAAGCGCCACGAAGATGTAGGCTACTAGAACTGGGCCCGGACTGAGTGAGGACCACCGACGTCGCAGGTGGAAGGTAGTACTTGAAGCATGGACTGCTGCTACCTGGACACTCTGAACACAAGGGTGACTTAAGGATGTCCTTGAAGATTTTGAAACTGGATCTTCACAAGAATTGCTTGGATTATTTTAAGTTTCCAGGAGTCTGAGGACTGAATAACTGCCTTTAGATAATATATAAATACACATCCAACACAGTGGGGATATGAATAAACATTTTGATGTATTTTGAAAAAAACTAATAGCTTTAAAAAAACCCGGTTTAAGTGCTGTTTAATAAGACTGATTTTCCTGAAGTTCAATTTTTAAGTCTCCTGTGGTTCAGTTACAGGGCTACTGGCTACAAACAGTAAAAAGAACATCTCTTATAATAATTATATATAATCCGTATATTGGTCTTTGGGTTGTTTTGCTCATCTCTGAAAGTCATATCTCACTACTGTAGTCTGCCATTTCTTTTGTTTTAATGCCAACAAAGTTAATCCTTTTTCACCCCTAAGATGCTTAAAACATTTAACTTTCATTTTCTACAGACGGTTAAATATTTAAGCTTTTGCTATCTTTGACAAGTTTTCTCCAAAATCAAATTCTAAATTATTTCAACCTCAGAATAACTTTAGGATGTTTACAGAGGGTCCCTGAAATATCCAAAAGACCTGTGTTAAGCCAATCAGTCTTCTTTTAATGTATTAGATAATGGAAAACATTGTCAAATCAAATAATTTTAATTTTATTTACATTGTTATATGTATAAATAAATTAAATGTATATTTGTAAATATTTATTATATATGTATTCTGTATTTATATATGTATTTATATTCCAAAATAATTTAAAATTCCTAAAAGTCATATAGCAAAATAATATGGCATTAACGGGCAATTATAGGTAATATTAAAGGGGTGTATGCCATAAATACTGCCAAATTTCTTTTTTTTTTTTTTTGAAAGATTTTTGCTATAGGGCGCATGCACTTACCCGAAAGACAGAGACAGAGAGACAGAAAACGAGAAATCACACCCCAGGGGGGTGGCCACGCTGCAATCCCTTCTGCTCCCTTCTCCTCTTGGGATCTTGGGCACGCGCA